TACAACATATATGCATTGCAATATATATAAATATATATATATATTTAGGTTGTTCACATTTAGCATATTTTTGTGGCTTCCCTGACTATGCTCTCTTGCTTTCATATGAAGAAAAATAATAGACCACTACTGAGTGTGTTGATAAATGCTCAAAACTCCACAGGAAAACCTAAAGAACCCTGTACATCTTATTCTGGCTCAGAGTTCTGAAAATCTTTTAAAATTCTTGAAGATCCCAGCTCAAGAGAATCATTTAAATACATTTCTGTCTGTAGTAAAATATCTGCAAGAAAGTCAGGTTCCTATAAAAATGCAGAGTTAGGAATTTTGGCAAGGGAATTTATTCAGGGGTATATAGAGAATATAAGTTCATTTGAGCTGTTGTTTTGGAATGTTTAGTTGATGAAGCTTGTAAAATAAACAAGCATGAAAGGGAACATGCCACCTCTAATACTTTCTTTAAAATTCAGGTGTGAGACCCATACAGTGCACTGTGTGGGAGTGCAGTGGATATATCCAAGGGCCCACTCCATCCCATAAAGTAGAAATAGCCAAGGGTCTCCTAATATAGTGATTGAACCAGATCAGTATGGTAAAAATGTAGGGGGCTTTTTGGAAATTGTTATCAGATTGGTGTTATCTGTAAGAAACTCAACAACCACACATTGGGGTGTATCAGGTACAGTCCTGTTAGCCAATCAAAGGAAGTGATTGTCCTGTTCTACTCTGTACTGCTGTAACTTGAGTACCGTTTGAACATTTGGGTACCACAAAATAAGAAGGACATGAAAATATTAGAGAGCATCCAAAGAAGGACTATGAAAATAGTGAAGGGTCTAGAGGGCAGGACATTTGAGTTATGAAGTCACTTGGTTTCTTCAGCCCAGAGCAGAGCAGGCTTAGGGGAGGCCTCACGGTGGCCTGCAGCTTCCTCAGGAGGGTAGCAGAGGGGCAGGCGCTGAGCTCTGGGGACAGTGACAGGACCTGAGGGAATGGCATGTAGCTGGGACAGGGGAGGATCGGGCTGGTGTTAGGAAAAGGTTCTTCACCAGGAGGGTGGTTGGGCACTGGAACAGGCTCCCCTGGCTTCCCAGCACTGAGTGGTTCACAGCACTGAGCCTGCTGGAGTTCAAGAAGCATTTGGACAACGCTCTCAGATATATGGTCTGTTTTTTGAGTGGTCCTGTGTGGAGCCAGGAGTTGGACTTGATGATTCTTGTGGATCCCTTCCAGCTTGGAATATTCTGTGATTCTAACTCTAGAGCTCTTTCTAGGGAGATAGTCAGCTTAGTTGTCTGTGGCAACACTTGTCCTTTTCATACTTAAGTGAAGGGGGAAAGTCTTCTTGGATATAAATTCCAATGAGTTCAGTTAAGGAGGAATTTGGATTTCCTACATAAGAAATGAAACACTTTTCATTCTCTAGAATTTGGGTGATTTTTTCAGGTATTCTAGTATTCACACAGCCAGAAGATTTAGAGGGAGAAAACTATAGAATTTTCTATCTATAAACATTTATGGATCTAGAAGAATGGAGACTGAAGCTTTACTAAGAACTGCTGGCTTACGCAGAGCCTACAAAGTTAAAGGTGGACAAAAGTGATGCTGGACACACCCCTTATTGAATGTTGAGCCTAGAAGCCAATGTACCATATGTATGCCTTGCTCTCTCTATGCTCTTTGACTTTGTCCAGTATGTGTAGAAATACAATGTCTTCAGGATAGAACATAAGATGATCCTGAAGCACTTATTCATGGCATTTCACAGAGACAGGTTTATGAAATGCGACTGCCTACTAGCGCAGGAATACACTACTACTAGCGGGATGATTCTGCTTGGCAGGCAGCTTTTCATACCCAGCGGCTATGAAATTTGTATCTTGTTTTCATTTCTCTTTTCACTAAATAAAAGATACGATATGTTTGTTTTGTCATCCTCCAAGTTTTTAATTCTAGGAAACATGAACAAAATAATTCCAATATTTTCTGACTAACTCTACCTTGTTTTCTTTTAAGTCTTTAAGATTAGCCACTTTTCCCTAGAAAGTAAAAAAGTGCTAATGTGTCAATCACTTGAGAGAGCAGTTTACAGACTCAACATAGCTTCAGTGCCTCAGATAAATAAATGTATATGAATACAGGTCTACTGAGACCCATATGTTGATGCTCCAAGGTACAGCACTGACAATACTATATGTTACTACAGATACAGAGACTAATGTTGATTGCAGTTTATTTTTATGCTTTGTCTAGAGGTTTCTTTTCAGAAGTACTTAAATGTTTATTTTGGGAATGCATAAACCACAAACAACTGGTAATTTATGAGCTTTAGATATGTATTAGAATGTGGGTTGTCAGCGTGGGCTGGAAATAGTGGCTGCATTATTAACTGTGAGGGTGGCCCTTCATCTACTCTAGCAAATAGGAAGTACGTAAGAGCATGTTGGGCACACTGGGGTGGAAAAGGATACCAGCAGCTCTCTGGATTATTCATGTTAATAGAAGTTGAAGCTTGCAATCTGTATATGCTGCTTCTTATGCCTGAAGTCTAACTCCTGCAGATAGGTTAGTGTATCTCCAGGCATCCACCTTTTTTGGCCTGTGTTTTCACTGATCTTTTCCTGCTCCAAGTGAAAGAAGACTGTTTGGGCTGCAGAAATGATGCACTCAGAAATGAGTGTTTACCAAAGACAGCTCTTCAGGAATCCCTAATTTTCCCAATTATGCCTCTGTTCTTTCCCTTTGATGTTTTTCTGAACAGTTTTAAATGCATCATAGCTTGTCACCAAAATGAATGAAAATGAAATTACTTGTCCATAGGTTATTGGTTTTTGTCAGGAAAAAAAAAAAAAAAAAAAAAGCACAGTAAAACCATTAAAAGTAGTGTACAAATATGAGTTTTAATCATCTATATTTCACTATTTTTTTTAAAGTATGTGGTCCTGTTATTGCATAAATATAAACCATTTGAGTGTTTGTGTATGTGTATTCACCCTCACATGATACTGCTTTGTTCTGCTGTCAAAACCCACTTTGATTCATTGTGCCAACTGCATGGATGATCTGTTTTCTGATGATGTTTCCGGATGATCTGAGTCATGTACAAAATATTTTCAGAGGCTTTCTTTAGACGTTCATAAAAAATCTAGATAGAATACATTGCAATCAATAACTCTGAAAAGGTCCCTTTTCCCCTAGTCAACCCATAAATGTAACTTTTCCCCTGGTGTGGAACTCCAGTTAAAAAGCCAAGGGTTTTATTCTTAATTCTTCAAAGAAGTATATGTTATATATATCTTATTGTAACTATGCAAGTCAATAAAGCTATTGCTACAGATTTCCTGATGGTCTTAAGACTTTTTAAGCCCTTAAACTCAGAGTGGATTTTTTTTTAATAACTGGAAATAATTTTTCTTTTTCTTTTTCTTTTTTTCATAAATTTGTGAAGATGGGATTATTTTTAAGTTTTTCAAGTGTATTCTTATTCTTATATTCTTATGTATCATGTAAAGCAATGCACATGTGAATAACTTAACCTAAATTTTCCTGTGGAATTGCTGTACTTCTATAAACTCAGAGAGTGTTTTGTTTTAGTAGTCCAAGTCAGCAAAAGACAGGATGAAGGGGTTTCCATGCTTCCTAAGGTGAATGCAGTATGATGTAGCAGAAATAAATAAAATGTATCTCTAGAAGTGCTTTAGCTGAGGTTGCAAGTAAGGATGCTATAAATTTGTTAAGATCGTGGCTTTCTATGTATCCCTTATCAACCTATAATCTCCTGATTGTTGCCTGTTTTTCAACAGCTGAAGAACAGTAATCCACACTTGCTTATCTCTCTTAATCACAGCCTCACAGTGCTAGAGCTCCCTGAGCCTTTAATTCCCTCTTAGAGGCGTAACAGAGTGGAAAGTAAACAAAGACAAATTTGCAACCTTCAACATTGCTAATTTGCTCTGATGTCAGAATATTTAAACAGGCAAGGACTTGGGAATTACTTGATCATGGCTGATTTTAATCTAATGCATGTGAAAAGGCAGAGTCTGGGAAGGTTGTGCAAAATGACAGCCGTCCCAAGAGAGGTTCACTGAAGGTTTCTTTAAACAACAATAGCTCTGTCCTTTTAAAACTCTGGATCCTGTGTTCCTACAGCATGTTTCTGTAGCTGCTTGCACTTTGAATGGAACATTTTGGATATGGTAGCAGTTTTCTTGAAAATATCTCATTTGCTTTGCAGTTTATAGATGTCTGAAACCTGATCTTTAGGCTTGTTATTGCATCTGTTCACTGGGCAGTGGGTGGGAGAGATAAAGATGCCTATTTTAAAAGCTTTGTCTCTCTCCACGTTTTTGTATCATCACGACAGCCTAATGTATCCTGAATTCTTTCATATGTAAAACTCAGTACATGCTTTAAAAGTGATTGATAACTTGATCTTCAAATTATTCTAAATTACATAGTTGACATTTATGCATATATATGTGTATACATACTTGCTGGGTAGCAAAGGATGTTATTTTGCATTATATATTACACACAGACTTTCTCTACCACAGAGATAGTGCGCTTACACCTCCATACACAGCAGACAACTGTGTGTTATTACCTGAATTGGATTTGATAAATACACAAGAAAAGTTATGTTTTTCTTTCCTTTCATTTCCCTTTGTGAAGACTTAAAAGTCTATTTAATGCATGAGTAATCACTTATTGTTTGTTGTTTACAAAATGGTTAATGCAGCATATATATTATCAGGACAAGTGTCTGATGCTTTCCTAATTAATATATATTGCTCTGGTAATATCTGTTCTGGTTGTACAACTTGTGTTTCTGAAGCACATCCTGATGATGATTTCTTTTCTTCTTAATGTGTGTCATCTGGGATATTCCAGTGAGAGATGTCTGGGAAACCAGGCTTTCACAGTCACTCTCTGCCTTGAGATTACAGCACTGGGTTATTTGTGTTTCTCCTCATCCCTGTTCTGTCTCTCGCTCTCTCCAGCTGGTGTAAATGACTGCTGCCGCCTCTCAGCGCAAGATAACCTGCTCAGTCAGCTGGAGCCCCCTGCGGACAGCTGTCTCTCTTTTAGCTGATGGAAAACTGCAACTAACCGCTGAATGGAAGAGCGTGGAGTAGCAACCATACTAGCAGCAGCCGCTGCAGCAAGAGCGAGCAAGGACTCTATTGTTCCCTAGTGTTAAACAGTTTTTCCTTTTCAACTGGCATGCACAATAGCAGGAGAGAGCTTTCCAGTCCGCATCTCCCCATGAAGAAATTCTGAAGAGGGGAATATTATTTGAAGAAGGTTTCACGGTTGTGCTGCAGGCTTTGGATGTGGGAGCAGGCTGCTGGAGGAGGCATGGGGTTGAGTAAGGGGAGCGCTGCTTTCCCCCATGGTCCGAGGGTTTGTGCTGTGCCAGCCCGCTGCGTGGGAGTTCTTGTGGTTCTGCTGGTGGGAGCCTGGGACGCTCGGGCACAGAGTGAATTTCAAACTTCATCTGTGTATTTGTGGAAGACTGGTAAGTAAGGATGCTACACTAACACAGCAGCAGTATGATTATTTTTTGTTGTAAGTAAGCAGTAACCTTTCTGTGTGCTTTGTGTACGTGCAGAGAGAAAGTTAAATCTACATTAGTAATGTTTATTTGCAGGATTATAGGAAAACAAATTAGGTCGCCTTCCAGTATTTCACTGGCCAAGCAACTAAGGCAATTAAAAAAAAAAAAAAAAAAAAGAAAAAAAAGAAATGTGACTGTCATGCTGTTATTGGGATCTCTCATGCATCTTTGAGTCTTTTGATGTTTTTCGTTTTATTTAGTAGCTCTGTGTTGTATGTAAATAGCAAAGGTCAGGGCTTTAGTGCCTCCTCACAATGGAAAGGAACATTTGTTACAGTTGGAGTTAGCAACGTTAACAGTGCTCTAAAAATATTGACATTTCACAAAGAAAGATGTAATGCAGCATGTCTAATCTTCATGCTCTGTGCTGACATGTAATATATTCAGTGTGGTAATTGATGGGGAGTTGGGTTTGTTAAATTTAGGTTTGTTGCACAGTATATAGGACACATGAAAGCTAATGATGGATTAGGTGAAATAATCCAACTGATGCCAGATCTCATAACCAAAGAGCCAAAGGCAAATAGGCTATGTGGATTCAGCACCACACTAGATAGATAATTTCCTCTACTTTGGCACTAATGAGTTACGTGTCTGTTTTAAAGATTGCATAGCCATAACACTGTTCCAGTATTAACTTTGCATTAAAAACCAATGGGGAATTTTCTTACGTCTGTCAATATATTGTGTTAATTCAGAATTTTGATAATGAGGACTACATATGTTTTAGTTCTCTAACATAGTAACACTTCCTACATAAGCTTCCAAAACTCCTTTAGGAAATTTAAAAATTTCAAGACAGTAAATATTTCACACTGACTTTGGCAGGTTTTATTGGCATGTTGCCAGGAACAAACCAATACAAAAAGTAGACTGTTGTTTAAGACATGCATTTCCATTAAGGAATAATATGATAGAAAACGAATGTGCAAATTCATTATCTGTATGAAAAGCAACTTTGAGAAGATAGTGTGTTCCCCTGGATGGAGGGCCCCAGCCTTCTGAAACAAAAACAGATCAATTCACAATTAAAGTGTTATCCTGAATTTTTTAGAGGCTTCATCTATCCAGCAGCTCAAGGAGATTAAAAGGAAATTCATTTAAACAAAAAGACAGGCTTTCCAATAACGCTATAAAGAGAAAGCTGAAGAAGGGAAAGTCCTTCACAACTTTCACTTCTGCTGAAAGATGGGTAGCACAATGACGCTGATGACCCTTTCCTTTCCTTCTTCTTTTAAAACACTCACAAATTCAAAACATAGTGATCAATTCTATTAGAGTTCTGTAAATGTTTGCTACACACTTAAAAAGAGATCAAATACATACATAGGTTTATAGAAAAATATAGTGATCATAGTAGCATTTTCATAAAGCATTTTGCGTTTAAACTACGTTGCTAGGCAGCAGTAGATTAAACTCTCCAGCATGTTATTATGTCTCCATTTAGTAGATTGAATTTTAAAAGGTTAATAGTAACTTGGTTGAGAATAATGACAACTGTAGTTAACTAATACTTATGAAAATGAACCACCAATTTGCTATGGGGTAGCTTGGTTTACCTTGAACATAGCACACGTGTTCTGAAGTCAAGTCAGTTAAACTAGCAAGGAGGAAACTGGCTTGGCTTTTTTTCCTCCGCCTTTTCTCCCTTCCTTGAAGAACTTTTGTTTAGAACAGGTATGATATAATCATGTTGTGTAATGAAGAGCTAGTTTTTCCTTTAAGCTCTTCATTCTCTGACCTTTCTCCTGTTTTACCCACAATAAGGAATAGGATAAGCATGTTCTCTGCACAATGTTTAATATCATAGCATCCATTTATTTTTTTTCCTTCCTTTGTGGGAAGTTCTAGAAAGTGAACTAGAATAACTGCTCATCAGTGATCTGAATGTATATCCAGCATGAATCTAAAGTTCAGCTAAAGTATCAGAGGGGAAAATAAAACTGAACTGGACAGTAGTGAGCTTATCCAACTGAGACAATATTTCAGCTTTTCTTTCTGTGAAAGAAACATAAGTCAAGGCTAAAATTGTGTCTAGGAAATTGGCATGAGTGTGTGTGTATGCCTTTTGGCACCCGTTATTGGTGAAGTATGTCCGTTTTCTTGAGAAACATGCTACTTTTGTTATTAATTTTAGTTTGGCATTAGCTATTGTAAGTGGCTTGAGTGTGCCTGACTTTTATTTCTAAAGATTTTTTGAAATAATGTCTTAGTGTATGCTGCTCCATGACTTCTAAGCAGGTTTACTGCAGTGTTATTTTAAGAATACCCTGGAAAATAATATACAAGGCTTATGGAATTTGAGTTATGACATTTTCTCTTATAAAATTGTGATACCTATTACAGTGTCTTGATACTTGTTTTTGGGGATGGGAATGGGATGAGGTCAGGGGCTGTTCTTCTAATTCAAATTTCACGTTTGTTTTGAACCTTTGAAAACCTCTCGGGGGTCATGACTCTTCCTATCACTATTCTCCTGTAAAAATATGAGGAGAGTGTACTCTTTAACCCTCTTGGGGTTTAATTACCTTCAATTCAGCATGGACACCATTGTGAACAACCTGCTTTGGGAAGGGAGGTTGGACTAAACGATTTCCAGAGGTTCCTTCCACCATTCTGCAGTATGGATGCCATCACAAAGTCATTTCTACTTCACCAACTGAAACTTAAGTTTTGACTGTCATCAATTTTTGAAGTTTTCATCTCCTATGAGATGAAAATAGTATTTGCTTTTGCATATTTATGCTGGAATTATGGTGTATGAATGGATCTCCAGTGTATTGCATGACATTGAGATGGATATAGTTGATTACAGTTACTAGTCTTTAAACTTTAGATTTCTTGCCAAACATTCACATTCCATACTATGCAGACCCAATGTGTGCATTTTCTTTGGGTACAAATACACAGCTGGCTTAATTTTACTGGTTTCTGGGCAAAGCCATCTAGTTTTTTAAAATAAACTAAGGCAAAGTCTCCATCTGTGCAGAATGCCTGGCTCTGTACGGCAAAATGAAGAAACAGCTAAATTACTAGAGTTGGGTTGTTATGTCTGTCTGCTTTATGACTTGAGAATTGCAGTCTTTAACTACTCATCAAACAGAACTTCTTGTATTGAGAGGCAGTGATTCCTCTGATGTGAGGTGGAGCATTTGAGTTTTGAAGTTGAAATAATTTTTTACCAACTAGGGCATTGAGCTCTACTATTTATTAATAGTTGTGTGAAATGGAGATTATCTCTGTTTCCTGAAAAAACATGCTTCGTGTACAAACTGGGAGGGGGGAGGCGGTGTGTCTGTATAGGAGAAACTACACTGGGCGGGAGAATAAGCACATTTCTGTGCATTGTGTTGTGAATGACTCATGGCTAGATGATCAATGTAATGATGATGGCTCACAATGTTTAAAAATATCTATGTAAAACTGTTATAAGATGGTATGGGCAACACAAATGTTTGTGGATAATACAAAACTGATAACTGCATACAAAACAAACACAGTAAAGCTGAAAGCTTGATGAAAACTTCCATGAAGCATGAAAGTTATAGTAAAAATGGGATGCAGTCACACTTTCATTTTGAATACTTGTTGTGGGCCAAGAACACTTTAACACATAAATCACCAGTGATAATGATAATCAAATGATCTATTTCAAAATGTAAATTTCTCTAGATTATTTGGAAACCTTGCTTCCACTGAACAACCTGTTCTCTTCATCAGTGGATGACCTTCTCAGAGCTGACTGAGTTGCAATGAATGGTTTGTTAGTTCAGCTAGTGCACTCCTACACTGAACTTGAAGGTGTTCATGAAATTTTTTGAATTTCATTATTATTTTATCCTAACTATTACAATGATCTATTGAATTGTTTCTTTGTACGCAGCCGAAAAAAGGAGAAAATATTCTGTGCCATAAGCAGTATAAGCTGCTTCCATTAACTTCTACTGATTGTTATTGTTCATTTTTCTTCTTTTAAAGTGATTTTTTTTCATATTTAAGAACAGCTTATGTTCTTGCTTATACCATCTCCATAGGCTAAGATTTTGATCTCGCTGTACATCTTGCAGTGAACAAACTGAGTATATTTACTGAGAATATTTATAGAAATAAATATTTCTATAGTTACCACTCTTTCAAAACAAGAAGATGTATGTTTTTTCTTGGTTTGTAGTTTCATAATGCAGGTGATATATATGCTATTTTTTTTATACACAACTGACTAAGCACAGGTATTTTTTGTCACATCAAAATTATCTTTTACTTCTACCCTGTACTTCATTTATTTATTTGTTTTTCAAATCAACTGACACTATGATCTGTGATGTGCTGTCAGTGTTGGGTGCATTGCCTGCCTACAGGAACTAATGTAATTACTGAAGAGTGCACAAGATCAGCAAGGTTCAATCACATTGTAAAATTGCTTCTTCCGACAGTTTGAAGTAATGCATGTTACACTCTTGAAGTGGAAGATATCATTGAGTTGATATCTCTGGAATAAGATAAATCATCAGAAAAAGTCCAGGAGGTAATGTCTTAACCATCACTGTCTTTTAAAGACTATTGATCAAATCTCAGATAGTATAAATCAGTATAGGTCTGCTGAATTATTTGAGTTATCTACTGTTGTATGATTATGAAGACTTGGTCTTCTCTGTAACAATTGCTGATGGCTGTTTTCCTATTCTTGCCAACAAACCACGGTAGAAATTTAAATACAGTTGCTGTAAGTGTAAGTAAGTGCCTTTTAAAATTACAAGTAAAAAATTACAGGTATAGAAAATGTACAGAAGATCAAGGGTTCGCCTGGGGGAGTGGATGCCCAGTTTCAAACCAGTGTGCCAAGTGGTTTCTAGTGGAACTAGAAGGGTGTTACAAACTCTTGCTGGCTAAGGGCTCTCCTT